AAATAAAAAAAAATTATATAAAAAAAAAATTCACAAATAAAAAAAAATTATATAAAAAAAAAATTCACAAATAAAAAAAATTAAAAATGAATAAAAATAAACGACGTTATAAAAAAAAAGTTAATATACATAATTTAAATACATTAAATCAATATTAAAAAAGCAATATAAAAAAATAAAAATATCAAAACATTTAAATAACATTCAAAAAATGTAAATAAATAAGAGAAAAGATATATAAAAAATTAAAAGAAAAAAATATAAAAATAAAATCGTATAAAAAATATTAAAATAAATAAGATTAAAAACAATAAAAATATCAAAGAATTTAGAATGGTATTAAAATATAAAAAAAAAATTATATAAAAAATATACATATTTCAAATAAATTAAATCAATATTAATCAAATCATTGTATCAAAATTAGCACGCATGATAACTGGAAGCATTAAAACACTGACTTTGGCTCAACAAGTGATTGCATATGCTATTGCAATTAGCATGAGGACAAATAACAAAAACAAAACAAAAAAGAAAAGGTAAACCAAACTCACAATTCAACGCAATAATGGCAAATTTGAATATTTTTTGTACTTTCGCTATTAATTTTGTTTCCTCAAGCACGTTGTTTTCGCGAAATATCAGTACAAAGAACGATACATTCGGAATCTTCGAAATCGAATTCTGTATTTTTATTAGCTGTATTGCTAACATCATTTAATTCGTTAACTAAAAAAAAATAACAACAAAATAAATAAAAAGTTTGTTTAAATATTTATATATGCACATTTACATATAATGGAAAAGACTAAAAAAAATTGCATAATATGCGTAATCTATTATCTAGCCCAAAGATCAGTTGAGATATTCAAAAGCGCATTTTAACTCAGAAATCAAATAATTTTGTTATATTATCTTACATAAATGAAGGTTTATTTGAGACTTTAAACTTACCAAGTGTGGAACGCGTCGCTCGACGCTTATCTTTCAATATGTAAATGGCAGTTAAAAAGAAGAAAACGGCACCCAAAACTTCAATAAAACTTGTGGAAAAGAGTGAATATTGCAGCGCTTTGAAACTATTGCTATCGGTGTCCTAAAAATACAAAATGAAATGTATGAGAAATTGAAAAACAATTTTATGCAATACATTTTAAAACGAGTACTCACCTCCAAGTCGAATTCGAGTATTTTCTCCTCACGTAATTGACTGACGAAATCGGTGGCATTTTGCTGTAATAAACTTGTGGCATTCGCTACCAATGCTGTGACATTTTCACTCACCACGCTGGCAGCCTGAGTTAAGAGATTCTTGTTTTCTGTTGTGGCATTAATCGACAATATGCTGTCGGTAATATTTTGACTACTGTCTTCCAAAGTCAGTGACATGCTAGGTATACCCAAACTGAACTCACTGGTCTGAGTGGTAGTGGCTCGTAAATGGCGCTTGATACCTTCCGAGAGCTGAAAAGAATTGCAAGAAAATGTTAATTTATTCTCTAAATAAGAAAAATTATTTCCAAAATTTTATTATTTAATATAATAAAGACACATTTATTTATTGATACATACCAAGCCAACGAAGTAGGGACTGCCAGCATCTCCTAATGCATGCGAGACCAGAATTTGGAAGGCTTCGGCGGTGGAACGGCGTGTCGGCACGACAACATACTGCAAAGGTAAAGAAAATATTAAGAAATGTTGCTACTTTAAATTAAATTAACCTATATAAAAGAAACAACAACAAAAACGATAAGGTGTGTGCGTGTGCTGTATTAAAATAAACAAAATTATCCACTGTGCGAAATTGTGTTATTGACCTAAAATTAGTGAAGCCTTCGCTATCGTTGGCGAGGTGTGCGAATTAAGCGAGCAAAACAAAAACGTAAAAATGCATTATTTTCTGTTTGGTAGGATTTTCGCAAGAATAGGAAACACTGGAGTTAACCACAATTGCAAAAAGCTACACACAGATGGGGCCATAAACGGACAAAGAAAGCAAAAAAAAACAGACATTACACACACTTGCATTTGGTTTGTGTACAGGATAATGCAATATTGAAAAGTTTTAAATTCTAATTATATACGGTATAAAAGCGCAGGCGATAATTCAACCAGCAGCAAGTTACGAGCGTGACGGAGCATTTATTTGAGAATTTATCTAATTCTTGGTCACCACTGTGTGCTGTTTGCGCAATGCGCGTTCCTTATCAATTGACATTGCATAATTTTAGGCATTAGGAGAGATGTACTGCACAAAGTGAGGCAGTGTACTGATTTAATAGAAATCCAATTTAAATTTATTTTTTCTATAATGAAATAATTAACGAGTTGTTTTGCTTTTTTTTGCTTTCTTCGGGCTTATGGATCAACGGGACTCGCGGTGTTGTATTAAAATTAATATGATATGCGTGCATCGAAAGGGTTTTAGAGTAAGAGTGTGCTTGTGTGTCTATGTTTGTTGCGCAAATGTAAACGTTTTAAAAATTAAAAAAAAAATAACATTTATGTATAATAATATTATTACTTCAAAATATACATACCACATAAATCGCTATTGAAAGGTTAAAGAGTCATTATACATATTAAACACAAGGGAGAATGGGTCTATACTCCCAGGATAATAGTATTGATAATATAACATAATATAACTAATATTAACAAGAATACAGCTTCTTTTGTTGTTTAGAGTAATATATCAAATATTTACCAATAAAACAAGAAGTTTCATGATTTTTTTAAGCATTTACTAGATTTTCTATACTTACACTAGACCCACTTGCTATTATGCAAGCAAAATATTTGAAAGAATATAGTGATTAACGAGTCTTCAATTGTTTCAATAGCGAGGTATAAACACATATAAAAAGATAAATAGCTAACGACAAAACTAAAGTTCTTTACGATAATAATATTAGCATAATTGAAGCAATTATATTAAAAATACAATAACATATGCTTAAAATGGTTAGAAAGTACTAGTACTAAGGTTAAATCTCATTAGACCTATTTAAGTAATTACTTGGTGATCTATGTCCCCAGATGTGATTCAAATTACTTAATAGCTATCAAATAATTTTCATATAACAAAAAACGATATATGTTATAATATTTAGAATACTTATAACAATAACAACAATTTCGAGCTATAAAATAGATTTAAGAAAAATCAATCAAAAAAGTTTGGCATAATAGATCTCAACAAATTTAATACAAAATAAGAAAATACCTTAACTTCGTTCACAAATAAAAAAAATTTCCATACAGAAACTTGATTTTGATTGTTCAAGTTGTATGGCAGCTATATGCTATAGTGATCAAACATCGGCGTTTCCGACAAATGAGCAGCTTGTTGGGAAAAAATATTTGATATTGATGATTGATATCACAAAAACTGAGAGACTAGTTAGCGTATATACAGATAGACTGATGGACATAGCTAAATCGACTCATTACGCTGATTAATAAGCACGTTCAAGTTCGTGCAGGTGATAAAGAATTATATATAATACCTAGATACATATGTATGTAAGTACACACATACCTTTCAACTCACGCTTTTTATTAAATTATGTGTTTAATACTTCATTGCGTAAAAGAGTTAAGATAGTTAATGAAATTTATATGAAAAGATAAAAAATAAATATACAAATGTACATGCAATGTATGTGTATTGTATACATGCATATTGTATACAGCTTAGAGGTCTTCCTTTCTTATTATTAAAGTATTTGACAATATAATTTTCAACCAAACAGCTAATTAGATAATAATTGGCACTCGTACATTTAGATAACATGCGATATTCTTCCTATTCTTAGCAGTTCGTATGTATAGATATATTTAGTTGATATACATTTGTATAACAAGTGTATGTACGAGTATGCGTGAATTGGATTGGATGACATAAAACATCTGATCGTGTTAAATTAGAAAACCGAAGAGATAGCTATCGGTAATTAGTAAGGAGGAAAAAACAACTCAGAGATTAGATATATATATATATGTATATTATATTTCGTTGGTGCAGAGTGTAACAATATTAGTGTTCCTCTAGTCTTCCTATCTCACTTACTTTAAGTTTCTTAAGTATATTTGGATTTTAGATCTTTATTTTACTGTTTTAGAGTTATTAGTGTTCGGCATTGATATGTGCAGGAAACAAAAAAAAATCAAAAATTGTTTTACAGCAATATTGAATCTACTCATAATGTAAAATTTAAAAAAATGCGCTTGCTTCTGAACTAAAAATTCGTGAACAATCTAATATTTATTTTATTCGTATCTTAAAATACTTGCTAAGCTAAAAATCTACAAGATTTATGATAAGACTGAAACGAGATTACTTCTGCTGCCAATTTTCTCAAATGTGCTGTTGAAGTGACAAAAGATTTCCCCAGATAGTAAAGAAAGTGGGTTATCCACACTCCAGCGCTAATAAGATTTACAAGAGCTAACAAAATATGTGCTTCTATATTTAACGCTTTTGTATTTATATGTTAAGCAGTATACTTTAATAATAGCAGAAGAGCCTTTAATTTGAGGGAACAGCACGTGCATACGTAAAATATGAGGATTAACACTGCATGAATGGTTCCACCTACACACACATATATGCAAGTGCTTTCAGGAAGTGGGTGCAACCACAAACAAAAAAGAAAAAATGCAAAGAAAGTCGATGAGCTTAATGGGGGAGTTGGCGCCAAAATAGCACGTGACATATGTATAAAGCTGGCTGGAAGTCAGTGTGTGTCTCATAAATATGTACTATAGAAATGTGTTTATGTATGTAAAGAAATGGGTGAAAATGCAATATGTCAACTCCATGGGGTGTAATTTCTCTCGACATTATTGCATTTATTATGTTTTTTTTTTCATTTTGTTTCGAGGGCCAGCAAATTACAAATATTCGAGTCGGCAAACTGAAAGCACAAGTGCTGAGGGGGGAGTATTTTATAAAATATGTGTATGTGTGTGTATGTGCAGAGTAACTGTTAAACGTTTTTTTGTTGTTGTCACGCGGTTGCAAAGCAAATAAGTGGTGCATTTTGGCATATAAATAAATTGCAAAACTTTATTATTGCACAGATAGTAAAAAGGGACAGAAAACTTTCTCGAGGAGTGTGGGTGAGGGGTGTGCCAAGTTCGCTGGGTGCGTGCGGTCTTAACTGTGCGGTAATAAAAGCAAATAATATGCATTCGTATATTTGGTTATTTAATACTGATAAATGAGTTTAATTAAAATGTGAAGCGAAGAATGGAAAAAGTTTCTTAAGAACAAGCCAAATAAAATAAGAAATAATTTTGCGAAAGCAGAAAGAAGTCTTAAGCGAAAGAACTAGGAATGACAAATGAATAATTTAAAAATAATATTAAAGAAATTTGTATAATATATTATATAATTATATAGGGTAAAATAAAACTATTCGATGTGTTAGTTAAATATTCTAAAGTTACCAATTTAGCTTATATGCCTAAATAAACTTCTAAAAATCATAGAATTAAATAAATAATATTATAAGAAGCGTTCTAAAACCAATTTGTATAAACGAATGGCGAAAGAGAGAAAATGCATGTGAAGCAGCAACTCTAACTCGGCTATATTTTTCGAGTTCAGCATGGTTGATTAAAAATACATAAAACTAGCTAAAATACCCTTCACAAATAAAAAAAAAGTCTTCCATACAAGAACTTGATTCTGAGCGGTCAGTTTCTATGGCAGTTAAATATATAATATGATATAGTGATCCCATCAAATTTATTCGGAGATTATAGCGTTGCCTTGAATAATATTCTAAGCCGAATTTCGTGCAGTGAATAACTTGTCAAATAAAAAAGTTTTTCCTACAAGGACTTGATTTTGATCCATCAGTTGGTCTGGCAACTACGAGTATATGCTGTATTGGTTTGATATCGTCAGTTTCGACAATTGAGCAGCTTCTTGGGGAGAAAAAGACGTGTGCAAAACTTCAGATTGATATCTCAAAAGCTAAGCGGTTATTTCGCGTATATACAGACAGACGAACAGGCGGACATGGCTAAATCGTCACAGCTCGCCATGCTAAGTCAACTTTTGAGCATTCTTTTTGCTATTCGCTTACAAAAACATAATCAAAAAATAACTTACATATGTACACTTTAATATAATAAATATAATGTATAATGAATATTTACAAATACTCTAACTATATGGATACTGTACCTACTGAAATATTTTATATATGAAAGCATTTATGTAATTTATAAAACGTTTACATTTGTTACGTAAGCATGTAAATTTGTATGACTGAAGTAGATTACAACGAAAACCACCACTACAAAATATGTGTACTTTTTAAGATCAATTACTTTTTGCATTTCTCTTACCAGTAAAATATCAGCCACAAGTGCCCAATTTAGATTCAAAAATAATTGACCGATGAACATTAAAATATACGACATAACGACGTATTTTGTGACAAACAGCATCGCGGCAGCAAGAAAAAATGAGCTAAAGAATAATCCATAGGCGCATACCAAGGGATCGGCGTTGTTCTTGTAACTGGCAACCGCACGCGACACTATTGGACCGAGCGGCACGCCAATTAGACCAGCTACCATTGTAATAATGCCAAAACGTAACGAAACGCTGTTCATATTTTTTTCGAACAGTTACACATTACGGGTTTTAAGGTGCGTTTTTAAAGTTTTTTTTTAGTACAAAAATGTATGAGGAAAGAACAAAGAAAATAGAAAGAATAAAATTTAGTAAGAACGTTGAAAGCATTTAAACAAGAAAACTCGTGTTAAGTATAAAAAATTGCAATAACAAAAAAAATAATAATAATTTAAAAAAATAATAATTTTTTTTTCATAACTCGAACAGCTGAAATTCTTAAGAATTGTTGCGTTTAGCGATCGTACAAGCTCTTTTTCATTCGTTGTTATTGTTGCGCGCTCGGTGTGTGTGTGTGGAGGAGCAGACAGTGGTGGGGTGTTTTTATTATGGTTTTTGCTTTTGTATTGCATATTTTCACGCATTTGCTGATGATTGCACTACGCCCGCATTGATTCATTGATTTGCTTTGTATTTTCATTTTCATTTTCATTTTTCTTACCAACAAAATATCCGCCACTATGGACCAGCATAGATTCAGCGTCACCTGCGCCAAAAAGACGAACAAGAAGCAGAACGAGGTTGTGGTTTGTGGTGTCACCAGCGACAAGTAGACCATAGGCGCTGATATGAGCAAACCGAAAGCGCAAATGTATGGATCACAGCTTTCGTGTCGTGGTCGTAGACGTTGCGCCAGAAACGAGCCCACTGGCACACCAATCAATCCGGCTATCATGGCTGTGATGCCAAACTTGTACGATACGCTAGTTGATTTTATAAATAGGATTTATGTGTGTTTTTAAATTTTTAATTTTTAAATATGCTAAAATTTAAGTAAATTCAATTTTTGTGCGTTAACATATTGAAGTATTTACACAGGGGGAATCCAAAAATTAATGTTCTTCTAGCATTTTTTTGTTCATATCTAATATACTTACTCATTCAGCGACAGCTCCTCGTTGCCAGGCTGCATTTTGATGCCTAGGTAAATGAATTTAGGTCCCCACCAGGCGAGCGCACCGGTTACAAAAGCAACGCAAGTGAAACCAGCTGTCGAAAGCATAAACGAATGATTCTTCACCAAGTCCTTAATATCCTCTGTGTAGCTGGTGGGTTCCAAATGTGGTGAGCCTTCGCTCTCACCACGCTCTGGCTCTTTGATCAATATAATCAGCACAACAGCCACAATGCCCAGTAAGGGTGTGACACGAAGCGCCCAACGCCAGTTATTAGCCAAGCGCGCAGTCTCCGAGCCGACAATGTAACTGGGTAAATAGAGAAAATGCAGATTAGAATGTATATTTAAAAATTGTTTATTTATTTATTTATTTAATAAATATAGACTTAATATAGAAATAAATTATTTTAGAAAATAACCATAATTGAATTATTATTTTAGTTAAGGAAATTGTTTAGAATAAATGGAAGCACATTAAGAGTTCTATCGAAGAATCGTATAAAACTCGAACAAAATTTAATTACGGCTAATTGTCTTCGTTTTCGTAATAAATTGATTATAAATCAATCAATCACAAAGTATACTTAATTGATTGACTACAAATTGAAGGGCCCCAGCACATTCATGTAATTGTTAATTTATGCCTTGCTTAATTAAACATTACGTACACCACTAATTATTACAAAAGCAACTTAAATGCACACGCTATCAATGCCGCGCTTGCTTCGAACCGTTTTAGGGGAGGTTCCCTTCTAGCTTTTCGTTGGGTGAAAGCACTTATTGCTTACAACTTTTACGATTTGACCTTTCAGCGACGAATTCTTTGCATTTATTTACTGTAGTACATAAATACTTGATGTGAAAGAAAATAAAGTAATTGATTTAGATTTGAATTGACAATGTCACTAATAAAATTTCTATTATTAGTTAACCTTTTGAACGCGTGCAATTTAGTCAGTTATATTATGGAAATAAGTGCAAGCAATTGGTGTGATAAAGCTGCAGTGAAACCACTTTAATTGGAACTTACATATATTATATAAGTATGTCGTGATTGGTGGATTTTAAGCGCCAGTGTTTAGTATTACATAAAAAATAAACTGCTGTTCAAAAAAAGTGAGACGTGAGTTATCTTCAAATTTTGCTTCTATAGTCATAATAGCCTGCACAAATGCATTTCATGCTATAAAAAGATCTTCATCGCCAGTTTGTATGGCAGATATATGCTATAGTGGTCCGATCTAAACAATATGTTCGGAGATTGTGTCTTTGTCTTGGACAATAATCCAAACCGAATTACGTGAATATATCCTGTCAAATAAAACGGTTTACCTTACCCCCATAGTGATCCATATTCCTATTGTGATCTGGTATCGCCGGTTGCGATAAATAAGCGGTTCCTTGGAGGAAAAAGGATATGTGCTAAGTTTCGAAACGATATTAAAAAGCTGGGAGATTAATTCGCTTATTTACAGACGGACAGACAGACGGAGATAGCTAAATCGACTCAACTCATCACGCTGAGCAGTGTTTTTAATCCATACTAGTATTATAGTACAAAATATTTCTTTTCTAACTTCAATATTATTATTAAAATCTTAGAAGCTGTCCTTTATAAAAGATTTTTTTCTCACCACTGTATAATTGTCCACTCCACAAACACTTTAACAATGCAGAGTAATTTAAGAAACCCATAAACAACCCTCGTGGTATGCTCGTTCCATTAATATTGATATCCACTGTTTAAAGTTACTACGTTAAAATATACTGTTGACTATATGTGTGTTCATCTTAAAAATTCCAAAAATTTAATTCAATTGAAGGCAGGCAACGCCTCTTTGACCTGCCTTGTTTCAGACAATTAATTTTTTTTTATTACCATGGGAGTGCATGTGAAAGCTGGCGATCCTACGTTTGATCGGAAGTTTGTTATGAATTGTAATCAATATGCAAAATATTGTTGCCACTAAATTATGAAATCACGCTTATGAAATCACGCGATCGGCGCTTTTAAAATTTAGCTTGAAAATTCATCTAAGGTTGAATGACTCAACAGAAAGAAATATACGCTTATGTACAACTTATAAAATGCGAAGTATAAAAATAAATAAAGTAGTATAAAAATATTTATAAATTTCTTATCAAATTTATTAATGTTATTGCGACAGCTAACAAGTCTAGAACTGCAGATTTGAGATGACAATAATAAATAAAACTATAATTAAAAAAAAACAACAACGACATAAATATAAATAACGCTAATTACTATAAGAAAAACATATTCGATAAGGAATATTTCATATTATTTCAAGTCTTACCCAAATCCGGAACCAACTGGTATCGCGAAATAGAATAACGCCAACATTTTCGAACGTAAATCGTGTATGAACAAATCGGAGATTATGGTGGGTGCTATGGTACTATATGAAGCTTCTCCGATACCCACTAATGCGCGGAATGTGATGAAACCACCGAAGCCGCCCATAAATGAGCCAATCAACGTTGTTGTCGACCATAACAATACACCGATGGCCATAATCCAACGACGCGAATAACGATCGCCGAGGTAGCCAAAAAGTGGCGCACAAACCATATATGAGAGCACAAAAGCGGTCTGTAGAAGACCACCATCATCGTCACCGATTTTAAAATCTGCTTGTATATCTGTTAAAACACCTGAAATATTCAGAGCAAGAAGAAAATATATTAGAATAAATAGTTGGAAAATCTACAATCTTAAAAAGAAGGTAACTTATTCAAAAAAAAAAAAATTAATTTAATGAAATTAAATTAAAGTATTTGTATAATATTTAAAACAAAGACACAATCTCGACCAAAATTTTATATTTATTCCTATTTGTATACCCTAAACTAGGTATATTAAGTTTGTCTCGAAGTTTGTAACACCCAGAAACTGAAACATAAGGGACATTCCTTTATTTAAATACACATTTTTTTGCGAGTGATATTAGATGTCCTGTAAAAAATATTTGTTTTTAATTCATGTCTTGTTTTTAATTGATGATTTTCTTTGAACAATTAGTAATCGCTTATTATACCCTGAACATGGTATATTGAGTTTGCCACAATGTATGTAACATTTAGAAGGAAACATCGAAGACCTTATAGATTTTATATATAAATAATCAGAGTAACGAGCTGAATCGATTTAGCCATGTTCGTCTGTCTCTCTATATAAACGCTAACTAGTCTCTCAGTTTTTGAAATATCGCTCTGAAATTTTTCACACGTTCTTTTCGCCCCAAGAAGTTGCTCATTTGCATGAACCGACGGGTATAGCGTATAGCTGCCATACAAACTGATCGGTCAGAATCAAGTCTTTGTATGAATTTTATTTTAATTTGACAAATTATCTTTACGAAATTTAACATGGATTCTTTTCCAAAGCAATGATGCAATCTCCGAAGAAATTGTTTACATCAGACCACTATAGAATATAGCTGCCATTCAAACTGACCGATTAAAATCAAGATAAAGAACTTCTTATACACTGTTATGGTACCAGAAATGCATTTGTTGAAGGTACTCTTATTACAGCTTCGGTACAGTGTGCGAAACGTATATTTAAACGATAAATTCGTAAAAGATGGTCGTCAAGGTCGCTTAGGATTCATATACATCTATAAGTATGTATATTTTGATATTTCTACATCTACATTCGCATATCAACTGGCAACTCTTCTCAAAACAGTATTTTTCGAATGCATTGAGGTGTGTAGCTAACATAAGCTTCATCGCAAAATGAATGTATGCCACACGAGCTTTGGAGCCGCATGCCCGACGACTCTAATTTTAGCACATAACATGACCATACAGTAATGATAATTACAATGATCATATTTAATTAACACAGTTGACTTCATTGCAATCACTCTGATTGTAGGTATATATGTACATATGTACATACATATATTCATTTTTAAATAGGAAAAAAATTAAAAAGTACAAGCAAGCGTTTGCTACTCTTAGCGTGTGTGTAATGATATCTGACTTGCGAACCTTTCATGGAAACTTTATTGACACTTTCAACTTCTTTATCGTGTGATATTCGCACAAGTGGCGCTATTTGAAGAAAGTCATACAATTTTTTATTGACTAATGTGCTAATGGTTTGGCTTAGAATACCATGCTTTTTGTTTAAGCGTGAAGATTGTTGGAATTTTACAAACAAGACGCTCATAGTTCCAGGAATACTCACTTTTATTGAGCCCTAGGCTGCCATCAACACATAGGCATGCAGCTAATGCGGTTACTGCAGATTTATAATTAAATTTATATAATTTTTATTTATTAAGAAATCGGTGCAATATTGTGCAAGCAAAAGTTTCAATTAAATTCGAGTAGTCATGCAATAACAGTGCATTGGCGTCTGTCGCTCTATATAATAGCGCCGGCAAGCGTATGCTTTTTCGCTTTGAGAAAGCTTTATAAAAACCACAACTGCCATTCGGAGGCGACATCTCAAACTGCAGGCCCTCTTGGTGTTCAAGGTTGCACGCGACATTTAATTATTATCATTCTTAGGCGCATTTAGTTATCATCATTTTCTCGGTGTTGTTTCATTGAAAAACTGCTGTATACCTACATAAAGTATGCATGTATGTACATACATACATATGTATTGTTATATACTCAAGCGGTTCACTTGCTTCAGCAACGGTCAGTTAATCATTGGCAAATTATTTTCTTTCCGCAACACAAAACTTAATTAAGTAAAACTAGTTTAAGCGTCTTTCAATTAATTTGTAGCTAAACTATGCATTTGTTCATTTACTGATGGCTTAAGCTTTGCTTGCAGCTACATTTCGCCTTTTGTTCATCTTTTGCTATGCGGATATGCATTTAACCTTCAGATGATTTGATTTTTGTGGTTAAATACTTTTATTTTATTTCAGTTACTGGATTGCTGCAAGCTGCCGCTTGGCGTAACTAATTTTCATTGGTAAAATATTTCTGAAAACCGCTGAAGAGCATATTTTTGAATTCAAAAAGCGTTTTGTGGAATCGAACACATTTAAGTATAAAAAATATTGTTTTAACCAAAGAATTTTTCTAGTAAAGCCTCGTGTAAATATGTACATATTCATTTAAAAATGTATAGCTAGAATTTTTTTCAAATTACTTTTTAACAAAAAAATGTTGAATTTGCAATAAACGTAGCTTTATTTAATCTTCTACCGGTTTTAGCAAGTGATGACAATTGTCACTAATACTCTTTAATTTCTTAGAGAGCATCGTTATTATGACGCCACTCACAAATGTGTGCTTTGAATTCGACAAGCTTTGGTATATTGCAGGATTTAGATACAAATATGTTTAAGGAATTAAACTTGAATGACTATATATTGGCAGTCCGGGTCATATTTGATCAGATATATATAGTTGAGATACCTACTCCGCTTGATATATTCATATGTAATGCACATCAATATTTTGTAATATGTACTTTAATTATCCATTATTTTACCTTAAAACCCCGCACCTTATACGGAAGTTAGAGCTTCGCTTATCATAGGGAAAATATTTATATATATATTTTTTTTTAAGTATCATTTATTTAGAATAGATAATGCTTAACAAAATATAGTAAATTTTTTGTCCAATTTAATCAGATAACTCAACAGTCTGATTCCATTAGTTGCAGAGATAATAAAACTGTTTTGAATAAATTTTGATACATTTTAATTGTCTAATTTTGAGTTAGCAACAGATTTCAAATGCTTTTACTTACTCATTCATATGTTTAATACTTCATTATCTTCTTACTGGCAGCGGAGTGTGGGAGCGGCATAAAATCTAATGAGCTGGGTGCTAAAAGCGTCACTTATCAATGCGTCAGCACAACCTTGATAATAGATCACATGAATGACAATATGATAGGCTATTTAGAATATGTGTAATGTGGCGCCCACTTACAACAAAAAGAAATACTATTCTAACAAATAAAAAACACATCAAAAGAAAAAAGTAAAGGCACATTCCGCTGCGAGCGTGATAAGCTTCTGCGTTTGGACTCCCCAAACACCCGCTCTAGTGTATATGAAGATATGTATGCACGTACTTCAAGACTTTGCGGCAGTTAATTAATACATGCACACATTTATACAAATATTTGTTTACCTGGAATCACGATAAAAAGCACTTACTCAGGTTAAGTATTTAATGTTTGTATACATTTAGCTGCATACTAGTAAAACAGAATAAAACCAAACACATACAAAAAAGTCTAGGAGAGTCAATGAAAGCGTAGCGTGGCGCATGGTTGAGAGAACTTGACTGTCATCGGAAAACGCAACAAGTAAACGGAAGAGTAGCAAAAATAGCAAGTGACATATATACCCACATACATTACAAGTATAAATATGTACATATATGAACTACGTACATATTTATGTACCTAAAAACACAATGAGTAACAGAACTAGTTCGCTAAACTGCATGTTTTATAAGCAAGTTTGCGAGTGCAAGCGCTGAGTCAGACAACAGACAAGATAGCCGACTGCTTGCCCATAATTGCCAACCGCCTTCAACACACAACGTGGCCACAACGACTACACTCTAAAAACCCCAATAAGCCAACAAACCCGAAGGGGCGCACTGCCCCGCACTTTCCCGCTAATCTAGTCATTTGCGCTCTTCATCATACGTTTTTACTGCTTTTGTTACTACTTGTATATTCGCGTTTTTTTTTTGTACTTTTTGTATTTAATTATTTTCGTTGTTATCTGGGTCTTTTTATGAGAAATTTATCGTACGATTTTTTCAACCAATCAGCGCTTGCCGGTATTAGCCAGCAATGAATAAGTGACGTAATGGCAAACAACGCTGACGGAGGAACGATGTCTACGTAGGCAAAGCAAGCCAACAGTGGTGAGCACGATAAGCAGAAAAAAATACCAACCGTGAAAAGGCGAAACGCTAAAAACGAATTGGTTGGGGCCGTTGTTGGTAAAGCTAGGTGGCACTGTTTGCTATCCATCTACAGACATGCATACATGCATGTGTATGCAAATATGTGCAAGCGTACAATTGGTATGCCGCGTCAACACGTAAGCATTCATAAACGAGAAGATTGCGTTATTGCAAGTCGAAAGACGACGAGCTGCTATGTAGTGGGTAGTAATGATATTTTTAAATAAATACTATTTAGCAAGATTGAATTTAGCATGCTTTTGCTTGTGTTTGTCAGATGATTTGAAGGCTTGGCTCACTGACTTACAGACGGTTTCGTTGCTCTTGAGGTAGCTAATCGGCTAAGGTGGATTTGGATTCTACGCTAAAATGAGAAAACGTAACGAACAATCGAAAAGTCGAGAAGCGGAAATTTTATTTTTTTAATCAGTCAGTTGTGTTCAAAGTCAAAGGAAGCAAACATAATGATGAAGTTATAGTTGCGAAAAGAGCTAATAGTAGCAAAACAGAAAACTTAAAACTGCAGACTGCAACAAATAAAAACATAAACACAAATCGAGTATCATAAAAAAGCAGCAATGGAAAAATAGTACGGCAATGTGCTCAAGAGAACCAGTTTGCAAAGCCGGCAACGGCGAAATAAATTTCAGAATGCTGCCACCCATACAATTCTATACGTACCAAGTACACATGTACTTTACTAGATTTGTTGGCGGGTCTTGTGACCGGGCAACAGTTAATTG